TTGTTTTACCTTCTATTCCTACTGAACCTACCTCATATAAGGAGGCTGCCTCTGTGCCTACTTGGACTGTAGCCGTGATGGATGAATTTCAAGCCCTTCAGAACTAGTCCACCTGGGTTTTAGTTCCTTTTCCCTCTGGCAAACAAGCAATCAGTTGTAAATGGGCCTCCAGGTTGAAGAAAAATTATGATGGCTCTATTGCTCGCTATAAAGCCTGGCTTGTGGCTAAAGGGTATCTTCAAGAGGAGGGCCTTGATTATCATGATACATTTAGTCTTATTGCAAAACAACCAACCATTCGTATTTTGCTTTGTTTAGCTTTACATTACAATTGGTCCATTCGGCAGTTGGATATCTCTAATGTCTTTCTTTATGGGCTCTTGACTAAAGAAGTTTATTTGGTTCAACCTCAGGGTTTTGTGGATTCTTCTTGTCGCACTCATGTTTGTCAGTTGAAGAAAGCTCTTTTATGGGCTTAAATAGGCTCCTAGAGCATGGTTCTCCTCCTTTTCATCTTTTCTTCTTACCAATGGTTTCAAAGCTAGTTTTGCAGATTCTTCACTGTTTATTCAACATACTGCTACTACCTTAACCATTCTATTGATCTATGTTGATGACATTTTGATCACTGGCAATAACTCTTCTCATATTGCTTCTCTTATTGCTTGTATGCATGTTGCCTTTTCTATGAAAGAGCTTGGAGACATCAATTATTTTTTAGGCAGATCAATTCAGTATACTTTTTCTAGTCTTTTCTTATCCCAACAAAAGTATGCTATGGAGATTCTTAATAAAGTTGGCATGACTGATTGTAAGCCTTATGCCTCTCCTATGCCTGTTAAGTCTTCTTCTCCTATTTTGCTTGATATGAATGCTCCTTTCTTTGAACCTTCTTTTATAGAAGTGTGGTTGGAGCCCTTCAATGCCTTATCATTACCAAGTCTGGCTTGGCTTTTTTAGTGAATCAAGCTTGTTAGTTTATACACCATCCTACTATCACACATTTTGCTGTTGTCAAATGGCTCTTGCGTTATGTTAAAGGAACTTTGGGTCATGGATTATCTTTTAATCCAGGTCCTCTCATCCTTCAGGCCTACTCTGACTCAGATTGGGTTGGGGATGTTATTGATCGTTGATCTACTACTGGGTGTTGTGTTTTTCTCGGGGCCAATCTTATTTCTTAGTCTGTTAAGAAGCAACCCACCGTCTTTCGGTCCTCTACTGAGTCTGAGTATCGTACGCTTACCCAAGTTGCTGTTGACCGTAACTGGATTGAAATGCTTTTGGCTGATCTTCATGTTGTTCCTCCATGTCCTGTTTTACGGTGTAACAACTTTTCTGCAGTTGCTCTATCTTCTAATCTCGTTTTTCATGCTCATTCAAAGCATATTGCTGTTGATTATCATTATATTCGTGAACATGTTACTGCCAAATAGGTGCTTGTTCTCCACATCTCTTCTATGGATTAGCTTGCTGATATTTTTACCAACCATTGGCCACTTCTCATTTTCTTTATCTTCAAAGCAAGCTTGTGGCTTCCTCTCCCACAACCTTGAGGGGGCATGATAAAGACTTAGCTAAAGATGATTTAGCTTCAACAAAAACTGCAGATCAAGCTATGACTTCAGCCTACAAGGAAGGATGCATTAGATCATGTGGTGCACAAATCTCAGAGGAGTAATACACATTGTATAATAGTTGTAACCAATTCTGTTATAACTAGAATTGGTTAGGATTAACTCTAGTTTAAAATTAACTCTAGTTGGGTTGATCAGTGTAATAAACTACTATAAGTGTTGTACTAACTGTATGATTCAGTAATGCAGAAGTTAAATAAAATTTAGTCCTTCTTCAGTTTTGTTCCTTCCTATGTTTATTTGTAGTTGTTTTATTATGTTTTGGTTAATTGCTCACCAACTGGATATGATGCTTGCATAATAGTGGACCACCTTTGATTCTAATTTCCAAATTTCATTGAACCATTCTATATGACAATAAAAGTCATCATGTTGCTTGATTCTTCTCAACATTGGCAGGTTCATGTGTTTATTTCACATGATTTACTTGCCCCTGTTAGATCAGCTATATTTTGTGATTTAGGACAGATAAAAGTCCAATATTAAAAAAGTGCATTTTTGCTAACTTGGTTTATAAAATAAAGTTATTTATATATTAGTTTAGATGTAATTGATAATATATTAATGTTTTCCTTTTTTTTTATTTCCTTTGCAAATTGGTTTTTGATGACATTTGGAAGCATACTTGCAAATCAAGATCAAATTTTGATATTTTTGTGGACTGATACTTATTTCTATTTGTAAATCAGGATCAAGTGTTATTTTTTTTTGTTGACTGATACTTTGCTCATTTTGAGATTTGTTGTGATGGTGTTTTTGTTATACTTAATGAATTATTATTAAATTTGTTTGATAGATATATTTTGATTTATAATATGAATTGATTACTAAATTGTTTTGTAGAGTGGTGTATAATAGCTAGTGGATTTGTTAGTATATTTGAAGGCTATTGAGAATGAGTAGGGATATTTGTGAAATAATAATTTAAATTGAATTATAAAATATGGAACAACAAGTTTTGTGACGAAATTTACCGCATCTTATATATGAAAAGTTTTGTGGATTTTATTGTTTGGTGACTAAAAATTTCGTCACGTATACATCTTTTTGCCACAAAATATATTTCGTCACCCATGTTTAACTTTTGGAGACGAAAAATTTTGTCAACTTTATATCTTACTGTGATGAAATTATTTCCTTTCTAATGATCAACATGTGACAAATTTATTCATCAACTAAAGTTTTATATATAGTACTGAATAATTATTTGGTGACGAAAATGAGAATTTTTTGTGATAAAATGTTGTCTTATTGGTGACAAAAAATTTCGTCACTAAAGTAACTTTATTGGTGACGAAATTAGTTTTTGTCAGTCATTTTTAGTGACAAACATTCAATGACGATACCGATGAGGAAAATATTTCCTCACAAATATATATATATATATAATGACGAAATTAGCTCTTTGGAGACAAAAAAATTCGTCATTCAAGACCCAATTTGTTGTAGTGTTACTTTTAATCTTGTATCTCTTTATTTTGAAGATGTTTATGGGGTGCTATTATGACATTGATGCTATAATTTAAAATTTTGAGTTTACAAAATTGGATTTTGTTTCAAAAATGAAATTTTTTTCTACATTTTCTTAAGATTTCTATTAATGGCTATGGATTATGAAGATTTTAGATGGGAAATAACATTTAATTTGATTTAGGGGTAAAAGTCCCAAATTTATGAAAACCCTAGTTGTAAAATTTGGAGAAAAGATTAAATTGATTTTTAATTCTTTAAAATTGATGAATGGATTATGATATTTTGAATATGTATTGATTGAGAACTGTGAAATTGGAAACCTCTTGAGATTTTTCTTAAATTATGAATCTTGTTCCTCATTACTCCATTAAATTACTTGAGTGGTGTACATTCTCTTTACCTAAAAAATGTATAAATACTTGGAAATCTGGAAGTCACCATATACTGCACATCAAACAACCAACATAAATTAGTGGAAGTTTAATGTAGTCAGGGAAAGTTGAAAAAATAGAGAAAATTATGCACACAAGCACACAACTAGACAAAGAAAATCCAGGAAGCCACAAAAAGTAATTGGAGTCTAGTATGGTTAGAGAAAATTCAGATGATAGAAAATTCAACACAAGAAGACAACATCCCAGTGAAAATCAAACAAGAAACATAAATTGGTGGGAATTTAATGTGGTCAGGAAAAATTCAAATGCCAGAGAAAATCAAAGAGACAAGGAGCCAGAGAAAATCAAGCAAGACACAAAGAGAAAGGGAGTCCAATGTGTTCAGAGAAAATTCATATAAAGGGGATATCTTAATACTAGAGAAAATTCATCTCAAGGAAAAAATTACACACAAGGTGACAACAAATCAGCAAAAATCAGACAAGTAACCTAAATTGATGGTTGTTTAATATAGTCAGGGAAAATTCAAATGCCAGAGAAAATTTAGTTCAAGGGAGACAACTAACCATTGAAAATCAAACAAGCAACATAAATTAGTGGGAGTTTAATGCAGTCAAGGAAAATTGAAATGCTAGAGACAATTTGAGAGAAAATTAAAGGGTCAACTAGCCAGAGGAAATCAAGCAAGACACATAGAGTAAACGAAGTCCAATGTACTCAGAGAAAATTATAATGCCAGATAAAATTCATCTTAAGGGGAAAATAATTCACAAGGAGATAACTAATCATTAAAAATCAAAGAAGCAACATCATTTGATGATTGTTTAAATGTGGTCAGAGAAAATTCAGATTCAAGAGAAAATTCATCACAAGGAGAAATCTAACAAGTGAAAATCAAACAAACAATATAAAATTGAAAAGCCAGAGAAAATTAAAGAGACAACTAGCCAAAGAAATTTAAGCAAGGCACAAAGAGTAAAAGGAGTCCAGTGTGTTCAGAGAAAATTGTAATGACAGATAAAATTCATTTCAAAGGGATATCTTAGTGCCAAATAAATTGCAAAGAAAATACACTACAAGAAAATGGGGCAAATAACACGGACTCCTGCCTTCGCCAATAATTCAGGATTCAGCGACAGCAGCACTTCCTGTCACAAAAAAACAAGTTCGTGCAACGGCAACAACTGTAATCGCAAATAATGGTCGTTTTTTGCGATGGCAAACTCCCCCCATTGCAAATAAAAAATTAGTTAAATGATGTCATTTTATTATTTAAATTTTCATTTGTGACGGTAAAATTTGACTTCGCAAAAAAAAAAAGAAAAAAAAAGCCCAAAACTTGATTTTCCCTTCACGCTCGTTTTTCCCCATTCCAACCAAAAATCCCCAATCTCAAAAATCGCTAATATTTTGAACCAAAAACCCTATCAAAAATCCCATCTTTTATTACGACTCTCTCTCTCTCTCTCTTTATTTCTCTCTCGACTGTGAGCAGCGGCAGACGGCAGTGAGCATCGAATCAATGGCAATGAGCAGCATGCAACAGCGGTGAGCAGCAAATGACGGCAGCGAGCGAGCGACGATGATACAACGTGTCTCTCTTCAACTCTTTCAGTCAGTCTTAATCTCTGAACCAGGTTAGCTCTTCTCCTTCTTTGTCTTCACGTCTCTGCTCTGCTGGGTTAACTGAAATCCTTACTTAACTTCTCTCGTCAGTCAATTGATATACTTCAAAATTATTTATACATACTAGTGTCACCTAAGGAATTATGGTATACTTCAATCTTACCCTGAGATTCTAGTCATGGAGATAAAGGGACCTCTCAAGGTGACAACTGGACTTAAGGAATTACAGATAGTATTTCATTATGATTGGTAGTATTTCATGACAGATACTGTTTTCTTTGAATTGTTTCCCAATTTTGGGTTATTTGGTTACTTTACAGTGTCAAAGATATTCCAATGTTATGTTTAGGAGATTAACATGTAAAACTTTAATAAGTTCTATTGTGGCCATGAATTTGTTGCATTTTCACAAGAATACACAAGTGCTGTGATCCTTACTTGACTTCTCCCGTCAGTCTAGCAAACTGATACTCATTAAGTATCTTGCTTTTCTTATTGTGATTATTAATGTTCTTTCCTATTTTTCCTTGGTTGTTCTTTTATCTATTTTTTTCATTTTTGAAATTTTAATATCCATATATTGTGGTCCATGGACTTGGTTATGTTTTTCTATATTGTGACTAGTATAAACTGTTTATTTTTTTTAGATATTCTTCATTAATTAATCTTTTATTTAATTCTAATATTGCAAATGTAATTTATGATTGGTTTTTTTATAGGTGGTATCCCATTGCCAATATTTTCTGAGTGGTGGTTAGCCAAAGAAAAGTTCTCTACAATTGAAGCATTTATTATATCTTCATTTCCTGGAGCAACATGTCAAGGTTGCAATGGGTTGAGCATTAAATATCAGGTAAACCGGTGTGAAGCTTTGGAATACTTGTTGCATCTTGATATAGTCCTTGCACAAAGGATAAGGAGGGTTACAATATGTTCTACTTTGACCACATGGCTTCTTTAATCCCTGTAGTAATTGATCCCAAAATTATTGAATTGAGCTTTGTATGATATGAGTTGAAAATGGAATTATATATGTATGTATGGTAGAGTTGGTGTTCTGGACTACACAAACAGATTAGAGTGTTTCATCTCCTATATGCATGTTATTCCCTTTTTTTTTCACCTTCTGTTCTTTTAGCATAATGAAGAAATTATTCATTATCATAGGCTGCACTTAGAGATACAAAACAAACAAAAGATGGGGTAGACAAGGAAATTGTTTCCCTCCGGTCTGAACTTAAGGTAAAGAATGCTTCCACACAGCCATTATTAGTTATATTTTATTTGTTTCTATACTTACTTTAAAGGGTCTTACACTAGTGCTGAACATTGTAAAATTATATGCTTTGATATTTTGCTTGAATCAGAAAGTGAAAACTGAGGCTACAGCTGCCGTAGACCAACTTCAGGGAACTGAATCTGAAGTTAGAGGTCTTCGTTCAATGACACAGAGGATGGTTTTAACCCAGAGTGAAATGGTATGTACTTGTATTGTTGCCTGGAACCTAATCCTATCATATTTTCTGTATATATTAATTGCAGTAGCATATCACACTGCAGGAGGAAGTTGTTCTTAAGCGGTGTTGGCTTGCACGTTATTGGGGTTTAGCTGCACGGCATGGTAATCAGCATGTTACAGCTATGTTTTACTTCATTATTTAAAAGCAAAAGTTCATTTTCGTACTCTTTTCTTTGTTCATTCATTCATATTTACTCACCCTAAGTAGTTGAGATCAAAGCAAGTGGAGTTCTTATGTTATGTTATGCTGTGTATTTTAACCCAGAATGTGACTTAATTTACATGATTTAGTCATGTATGGATAGCCTTTTTATATCTTTAAATCTTATCTCTCAAAACATGCCATAAAAAGCTTCAAATTTTCCGGACTCTAGGTAGTTGCAAAGTACCCTTCTTTTGTTCAAATTCTCCATGTACTAATACCCCGTGAACTTTATGATATTTGGGGTATCAATGATATTCGCACTTGGGTGTTCCATTTACTCCAACTATCTGCATGTGTCTTTTCATTTTTTTTCTTTCAATTATCTGAATTAACAAGGTCATGTTGATTCCTGTTTGTTTTTATTTGTTTTAGCTTGATTGATGAATTTTTCTCATAGTTTTTTCCTCACAAATCATATTTTATTTAATCACAATGGTTCTTTGTTCTTTAGGCATCTGTGCAGATATTGCAGTGTCAAAACATGAGTACTGGTCATCTTTAGCACCTCTTCCTTTCGAAGTTGTTGTTTCTGCAGGGCAAAAGGCAAAAGAGGGATGCTGGGATAAAGGTTAATGTCATTGTCTTTTCACTGCAGCAAATATTATGATTCTTATTATTTGTTTGATAAGGACTATATTTTCTTTATTATATCATCTCTTTCAATCACATTTGAAGCCTTTGTATCTACAATACTGAGCTGGTGATGAGAATCTTGAGAGGAGCAAACTAGTTCAGGACTCGAACGATCTTACTGGAGAAGGAAATATAGAGAGTATGCTTTCAGTTGAAATGGGCTTGAAGGAGCTTGCATCATTGAAGGTTTCCTTTTGAAGTATAAGATCAAATTTTGTTTCACTTTCATCCTTCACTCTTAGTGTTCTTCAGTAATTTTGGTTCTTCAAACCAGGCCACTTGCTTTTCAGTTGTGTTTATGATATTATAGTATTTCTTTCTTGGAATTGTCGCTATACCTACTCACATGTTCTATGGTTGCTCTTTCCAAGGTTGAGGATGCCATTGTGCTTGCATTGGCACAACAGCGGCGTGCAAATGCTATTCAACTATCTGGTTCAGGTTTGTCTTATATATGCTGCTAATGTGCTTGGTGGCTGATACCTGCTTTAATTGATTAAGTCCCTCGCAGTTTCTGGTTTCTATTTGAAACCACTATTGGTTGCCCAGGTTTTATGAATATACGTCATCTCTTAAGTGAGGCACCAAAAAGCCATCATTATTCCATATAGACTTTTGTGTTGCATGGTTCAGAAAATTCATGGTTTCAATTGCTCTTGACAGGGTTGCCCTTTTATCAGAATTGGTGTCCAAATCAGCAGCCTCTTATCAATCTCATTTTCATGTTGTGCATAATATATTTTTATCATTTGAGCATGTTAGCCAATCCCAAAACATTGGGATTATCGCTTTATTAACATGAATTCGGGGTTAGAGCCGGATTTCACTCTAGACAAACTAGTTGAAACTTAGAATTCGAGGTGTTGAGAGTTTATGGCATGACTATATTCTCACTCTTTCATGATTTTAAATGCCTTTGAGGTTGTGCATTGATTGCCTGAAGTTTGTGGTGCCTAGCATTGTATGCCATCTTGCCTAGGCGTAAGCACTCATTCTCAGGGCATGTTTAGTCTTTGTTTTGACTACTAGAGCTCTTGTTCCCATGAATTGGTTCATGCATAATGCCATGTATTGCACGCCTCCTTTTTTAGTCCTCTTTACTAGCTTTATGCCCTTAAGACTCTGCATGCTTTACTTGCTTATTTTGGAATGATTTCGCCCATCATTTTCTACCTCATTTCAGTGCATTGTATTGTTACCACTTACGATGTTTTGTCACTCTTTAGAGCATCTTGAGAGTTATTGCTCTTAGGCTCCTGGGTTGGCCAATGCATTGTGCATGCCATGCTTGGTACATTTATGCCTTTATTTTATCACCAATGGCCACTAATTTGGACATGACTGGGCGTTCCATCCATTTTGTTTAAGTCCATTAAACATTTGCATGCCATGTAGTTCATAGCATTGAGTATGCCCATGTTGTTTGCATGTTGATTCATCGTATTGTCTATTTGCCTTATACTGCGCATTGTGTTATGCTTAGGTTACATTGCATTTGAGCATGTGCCATCATTTGCATTATGTATACTTAGTTGTTGCATGCATTAGCATTGTGCATGGCCATTAGCCTTGTTAGGTTGCTTCACATTTGCATTACATGTTTGCATGCTTGAGTCGCATTGTGATATGCCATTTGCTTGTATTGCATTGTTGTCTTGGATTAAGTCTAAATTATCGAGCACGAGAGAAACGAGGGACGTTTCATACTTCAAGTGAACGTGCCTAATTCTCAGTCGCCGACGCTCTGACAATGCATAGATAGAGTTTAGCGTTTATATGTTTATTTGTGCATTCCTTTACATTGAATTGCAACAAGTTGGACTTTGGCCATTTCATGCATCGGGATGGTAATTGTATGGTCTTGGATCCAACTATGGCCTCTCCCTTGATGTTTCAAGGTGATATGGGTGGCATAGTGCGTACATCCCTTGGGAAGCCCTAATTTTCTCTCATTTTGCTACCTGCTTGCAGCTTGGTTTGCCACAGCACATCAGTGGCTGCAGTGCCTTGCAGATGGCCAGACAGTCCCTTCATTCTTGGGTTGGCAGTGCCCCACTCTTGGCAGGCAGTGGGCTCCCCATGGCCGGCAGGCCATGGTTTTTGGTAAGTTCAGCAGGAATCCATTGAGACACCCTGCAACAGAGCCTCTAAAGAGCAACCAGAGAGCTTTTTTCGGGCGGGCAACCGATGCATGCATCCTTTTCTCCCCCAACCAAAGCTGGAACGCATGCTTTCTGTTTTCCTTACTTGCTAATTAGCATTTAATATAGATATAATATAATAGTTAATTTGTTAATTAATTAAAGTTTTGTAATAATTAGTTGTAGCTAGTTATTCATTGGTTATGTTAATAATTAATTAGCTTGTTATTTAGTTAATTAGTGGTCTGTATAAATATTCATTCGGACCCCCAATCGAGAGGGCATATTGTAATATTAAGTATTGCGTGCGTTGTATGCATTGTCTTCCAACCCCTTCATTTCTTTCTCCCTTTACTTACCTGCTTTCAGTGGTTAGTTTAGTAGGTATGTTTTGATTAGCATCCTTATGCTTGCAGTGTTTGCATTCCATTCATCTTGCATTGCATTGCCACCGGGCTCGGCACATTCATACTAACTGCATTGTATGTTCAATTCCAATGTTGAATACATGTCATCAAATGTTGCATCTCATATTGCCATCTAGATAGCCGAGCCTATTTTTTAGTTGCCATTTTGCATGTGTTGCATTAGCCATCTTTAACATGAATAGGATCATGAATTGATTACTAACTAGCTTCTTTGTTTTGGCTCGGAATAGTACACTGTGAGTGTTTTACCTTTAGCAATACTGCATGTGTGTATTGTTGCCATAAAAGCATGTTGCCATGAGAGCTTAATTGCTTATTGCTATAACTGCCTAAATGCCTGTGGGGTGAAGGTTGGTTACTATTGAATTGAAAATTCGTTGAAATCCGCGATTTAGCCTGCTTACGAGTAGCAAACTTCAAACCGTTTCAAACAAACGGAAAAGCAATGTTTTGTTCCAACTTAGACGAGTCTAGTCTATAACTTGTTTGCTGTGCGCATCACATAGTTAATTCTAGGTTTAAATACCGGAATAAGGGAACACATGTTATTTCAAAAATAAGAATTATTCATGCTTAGGTTACATGCCGATCTTTGAGTCGGGCGCAGCGGTGGGTGCTCATTGCATGACCTTCCCCTCGGACCCAAGTTCTCGAGCTGAGACAAACTTTGGTGATGACAGACACGTGGGCCTTAGCACAAGTCAGGGTTTCCTAAATTCTCCCAAAAATTAAAAATATTTAAGGTGCGATTCTTATCTAGCAAAGCAGTCGTATGTTTGACACTTCTTTACAAAAATTCAGTTTTCCAAACGATTTGTCGGATCTAACTCTTTGGTTGATTTATCGATCTTGCATTGTAACTTTGCCGAGATTAGATCTAGAACCGTGACATGAGTCCGAACTGTAGTAGTAAGCTCGGAACGAAACAAGTTCGCGCCCCCCCTTGCGAGCTGTGGATGTCAGGAGTTCCCAGAAGCGCCGGTCTAACAGGTGCCGTCACAAAAAAAAAAAAAAAAAATTGCAACATATAATTATTAAAAAATATTAAAATTACCTGTATTAAATGAAAAAACAATTAAAAATTAAACCAATAATTGCAATAATACAAAAAGATTCCTGCTTAATAGAAATAACATTTCTCCAAATAAGAAAAACATTCTTGCATCCATATTACACAATCAACAAAATTATCCCACTACATAATGTTTCATAATACATAATAATGTCTTAAATACATAAATATTTGTTCCTTAATCCAAAAATAACATAACTAAATTAAAAAATTTTCTTATCATTTCTCCGTGGTAACAAAAACAAAAGTTAGTCTGTATTTTTCACAGGCATGCATTCCACAAGAACAAACTCCTACTTGGGAAAATATCTTGAAAACAAAAAAATAAAAATAATTAGTGACAATATAATTATATGTTAATATGTTTAATTACAAAAAAATATAAAAATTTAATACTATATAATTATAAAGATAATTAAGTAAAATAATTTTGCCTAGACCGAATCTACTCTAACTCCCAAACAGAGAACGCAATCGAGTTCTCGTCTTTCTTCCACAAGTCTCTCGTGCCTAGGTGGTGTGTGTGCCAAGTTATGGCTAATCCAACATCGTTTGGTGATTTCAGGCGTCAACACCTCGAATGCTAAACCTTCTTAAGGAACTAGGTTTGTCTCTAGCGTGAAATTCCGCTCTAACTCCCAAATCAAGAAACCCGATTTGAATCCCCGTCTTCTCCCACAAGTCTCTCACGCCTAGGCGGTCCGTGCTGTGCCAAGTTTCGTGCTACTTCAATGCCTGTTTGGTATGATTTTGGGGTGTCAACACCTCGAATTCTAAGTTTCTTAAAAAAACTAATTTGTCTAGAGTGAAATCAGGTCTCTAACTCTTAAACCGGAATCCGATTTGAGTCTCGTCTTCTCCCACAAGTCTCTCATGCCTAGGCAGTCGTTTGTGTGCCAAGTTTCGTGCTACTCCGACATTGTTTGGTGATTTTGGGACGTTAAATACCTCTAATTCTAAGTTTTCTTAAGAAACTAATTGTTCTAGAGTGAAATCTAGCTCTAACTCCCAACTGGGAATCCGATTCAAGTTCCGTGTTTCTCCATAAGTCTCTCATGCCTAGGCGGGTCGGTTGTGCCAAGTTTCGTGCTACTCCGACGCCGTTTGTGATTTTTGGGACCTGTCAACATCTTGAATTCTAAGTTTCAAACTAGTTTGTCTAGAGTGAAAATCCGGCTCTAACTCCCAAACCGGGAACCCGAATCCAGTCCCGTCTTCTCCCATAAGTCTCTCGTGCCTAGGCAAATCGTGCTGTGCCAAGTTTTGTGCTACTCCGGAACCGTTTGGTGATTTTGGGACATCAACACCTCGAATTCTAAGTTTCAACTAGTTTGTCTAGAGTGAAACCGGCTCTAACTCCCAAACGGGAATCCGATTTGAGGTCCCGTCCTTTCCCACAAGTCTCTCGTGCCTAGGCGGTCGTGTTGCTGAAGTTTCGTGCTACGTTGATGGTCGTTTGGCTATTTTGGGGCGTCAACACCTTGAATTCTAAGTTTCTTAAGAAACTAGTATGTCTAGAGTGAAATTCGGCTCTAACTCCCAAACGGGGAAGTCCGATTTGAGGCCCGTCTTCTTCCACAAGTCGCTCATGCCTAGCGGTTGTGTGTGCCAAGTTTCGTGCTACCTCCAACGCCGTTTGGTGATTTTAGGGCATTAACACCTTCGAAT